CTCTGCAGACTGGATGACACGCTGCAGCCTGCCCTTGTCTGCCAAAGCTATTTCATAATCATCTGGGCTTCCGCAAACTGTTTAAAGCCAAAATAATGTAAGCCTATGTAAACTACTGTTTGTTTGTTTTTTAACAAAGTATAAAAAAAATTCTAAAATATTCTCTACCTTAATGTTCTGGCATTTACCAAATAGAGGAAGTAATTGATATTACAGGAGCTAAAGAGAGTCTTATCTAACATCAGACAGGAGAGAAAATTATGTTTATTTTTAGTGAGTGAAAATAGATGTCCTATTAATCTGTATAATAGGACATCCTGAATAGATATTAACTTGACCTTATTTTTGTTACATGAAGATAAAGTTGGTTGTTTTATAACTATTGAACCCTGGAAAAGATGAACCGTTAAAATGAGTAGTGTATGCAAACTTCCCACCTCTGCACTAGAAAAAAATCTAAATCTAGATAAGTAATTTTTCATAAAATAAGTGCATTTGTTCTTGGATTGAGGAGGTAAAAGAGACATTTTGCCGATGAAACAAAACAATTTACATTTAAAATAAGAAAACACATTTGCATTGTTTTATTTCAAGTGCATGTTATCTAATTATCTTATTTTAGGAGTAAAGACATTCCATTGGCAAACTATCTCATTTGCCTACTCAAATTAAAGGTAAAGACAATTAATTTAAGGAATTTTAACTTATTTCTAGATTGTTTTTTCAGTGTGTTGTATCTGTGCTGAACTTTTTAAGCTTGCATAGTGAAAATATTTTTAATGACTCCCAAATAACAGAGTCAACATCTTTCTTTTCTGTTTTTTTTTCTCTTTATCTACAAATATGAACAAAACAAAAACAGAAATGGAAATAGCTTTTAAGATACTCCCAGTGGGGCTTGAGGTTTGCTAGCCCATTAAGAAATGGATGGGTATTATAACCAATCATTTCTAATCCATGTAACACTCAAGCACACAAAAAACATCTGGTTATGCTTTTAATGGGCTAAATCCTTCTGTACAGAAACACAGCCATCCAAAGAGGAGTTGATACCTAGAAGATACTTCCTTCTAGGAAGAGCATCTTGGTTCTGGTGCTTAAATTGGCTCAGCCAACTGGTTTCTGACCCTATCTCAACCCACCAAAATCTACTTAAACCATACCAAGATAAACCCTTTAGGTTAGGCCAAACCATTCATTTACACACTGCTGCACACGCTGCCAGGTGCAAGTCAGAGAAGCAGTTCAAATTGGCCTCCAGCAAGCTTAGCTATACACAGAGTAATGTGAGGTAATGTGCAGGGAAACAGAGCGTCTACATTTGTTATTTTAACTCTGCAGCATTACTAGCAATTTAAGATTAGATTTGAAATAATATAAAACTGCATTTTGTTTAAACAAATTAAGAGCCTTGGACATCAGCTAAGAATGTAAACAATCTTCATGACTTGCAGACAAATATGGAAACCCCCAAGTGGCCACTTGTTGGCCAGGGTTTTTCATAGTTTCTGTAGGATCAGGTGAAAGCAGCAGGTGACTGGTGGGTCCTTGTCGATTCAAGCCTGCTGTCACTTCAGCAGATTAGATGCTTTCTAAGTCTTAGTAGAAAGCAGACTTAGAGCCTCCAAGAAAAGCATCTCAGCTCACACCTCGACATATGGGTGAAGGCTTTGTGCCCCGTTATCCACCTTTAACAGGACCCAGCCTGAAAATGTCTGGGAATGCTTACACTCCTCCTCAGCACAAGAGCCTTGCTCTATTGTTTTATTATTATTATTATTTGTTTGATTTCTTGTAAATCCCTGACCTGAAAATTGCTGCTTATCCCATTAGAGGCTTTAGAAAAAACACAGAGCAGATTGAACAAATCGTGGAGGACCCTCACTCTCAACATATGATAACAAGAGACAGCGGATCAAGCGGCAATTTGTGCTCCGTCCTTTGGGATACTGATAAACACTAGGCTTACGCAGACTTATGTCAAATGACATCTTTAATTTGGTCTTGTGACATGACAACAATCCCACAAAAGAGGCTTAATTCTGCTGTGAGATTTGAAGTGGAAATATGTTGGTATTACTCGGAAAATTAACATTTTGTTCTATATATTTTTTTTTGTGTGAAAAAAAAAAAGTAAGGTACATTCAAAAGACTCTGGAACATTTATGTGGGTTGCAATGTTGGAATGAGTGCATCATTGAAATATTTCCCTCAAGAGAAGTGAAACATGAAAATACTGAGTACCAACAAAAGCCCAGGGTATCCCCATAGGATAGAGGATAACAGATATTACTTGAAAAAATTCAATATTAAAATAAAACAAGAATAGATGTTTCTTACCCTTTGTTTTAGTTTCATGAAAGGCATTACATTTGAATGAATCAAATCAAAGTGCCCCTTCTGGACAAAAATCCTCACTTTAGCTTATCAGAATGTACACTTAAATCTAAAGGAAAACAAGCATTGCTAATCTTAAAGAAAAGAAAGATTTGATAAAAGTTCCACGATTGTCCTGGAATCTTCAGCAATCCCTCACGCCAAGCATGCATGTAGCGACAGTCGAGAGGAAACTCCCTTTTAACAGGAAGAAACCTCCAGCAGAACCAGGCTCATTGTGAGTTGCCATTTGCCTGGGCCGACTGCGGGTTCAATGAGACAGAAACAGACAAACAGAAAGAAGCAGAGATACAAAAGGTAACTGTTAACTAGCTCCACAGGTGGCCCTGTCCAGGAAAGACAAGACGAGCTCCAAGCCAGCTCCCAAGTCAGAGGATGAAAGAGAGCACATGCAGTTACTCACAGTAAGAGAAAAAGAAAACTACACTGGAAAATAGGCCAACTCCAACATCTATAAACAGAGATGTTGATGGGAGAAGCACAGCTGATATTTTATTCCAGGATGGTGTCGAAGCCGAACAGGAACAGACCAGAGAAATCTACAATGATGAGAAAAAATAGCAAGACCATAAAGTTATGCATTGCCCTAATAAATACTGCAGAATGGGATAACAGATCAAATTAGGCTAATGAAAAGAGATCCCTATGTCCTCCAGCAGCAGAAACATATAGCAGCATAGATTAAAAAAAAATGGCTCCATCTATTTTGAATGAGATATAAGAAAGGTAGAGCAAAGAAAAAGAGAGATATCATTAATGCAATACATCTGCTTTGCTCTTTCAAATAGTTCTTCTTAAATTACAGTATTTCATCAATTTCATATTTGTTTTCACCTTAAAATGAAGTTTACAGTAAAACATAATTGTATTTGCTGTTGTTTCTTTTCTCAGTAAAGTGTTAAAGTGTCTGATTTTACATAAACATTATCAAGAGACTTATTTAGTTACCTTTATTGTATTTTTATGTCTGCTGTCAGGGTAAGCCGGCTTGGACAGTGACTCCTGGGAATGGTAATGGTTGTCCTGACTGTTCTCCATTTGAAGGCTATTTTCTTTGGAATGGCTAATATAAAATTGTTTTTGTGAACCTTTTAAATCCTTTACCAGGCTGAACAACTGCTACAATATCCTTACTGAAGGCCTTGGATGGTTTTTTAACCACAGGAATTCATTTTTTTTATTTACCAGATGCTGGTGAAGATTCTCAGTCATCAAGATCATAGTCATTCCAAAATGTTAAAATAAACAAACAAAACAAAAAACACTGGCCTTCAGTGGTTTGTTTTGTTACACTTAACATCCAGGAAGCTTTTTCAGTAGTTTTTTTTTATTTTATTTTTTTTTACATTTTTGGAATCTTAACAGATGATTAAGATTGTTGCTTTATGAAAGAGAGTCTAACAAGGTGAAGAACAGAAATAAGAGGAACTTAAGACCAGTCAAGGTCGTTGTATCAGTTTGAATGAATGTATTTCCTTTTATTAAACACAAAATTTTAGCATTTAGCTTATAAAATAGTGATGACCAAAAAGGAAGAAAAAAGCTTTCACAACTGGATAAGAAATCAAAAGACAAATCGTTAAGAAAGACAGGTGAGAAAAACCACTGCATAAGTTACTTTATGGCTTTTTGGCTATTATAGCAACATACACAGAGAAGACATCTATTCCATAATAACATAAATACGCATACCACATATAAATATCACCGTTTACACACTGAAATTCGTGTCATAGTATAATCATGATAATCATTGGATCGATTTGTTACATAAAACATTGCCATATATATGAAATATATACTTGTTGCAAGCTACTTTCCACCTGATCTGCCTTTGGTATTGATATTAGACCATCTTTCATTTATAGTTTATATAAATTAATTGGGACATAAATTTATCTGATGCAAACTTGCATTTTTTCGCAGAGGAGACATTTATTACACTGGCACTTCTCCCATCTAGGTTTGATGCAATTAAATGCACTTTATTACATATGAAATGTATTCTTAATACTACTAAAACTGAATGTATGTATTTTTCCAAATCCAAAGGGCTTAAAAATATCCCCTCCGTGTTCTCTTCGGGTGGAAATAAAATTAGCTGGCTCACACACAAAAATATCTGGGCTTTTTGACCAATGATTCCCTCGGTTTTAAACCTTGCTTGAAAAAAGGGTAAGATTACAGTTAGGTGGTTTGGCTGCTTGAAGGAATTTTATTTACAAGGCATTACCTGGACTGCTTCCGGTCTATCTGTACTACAATTGGACTAAAATTACGATTTCTTTAAGTTCTTTCTGTCCCCTTTGCTCAGACTGAACTGGGCAGGAAGCTTTTTGTTCACTCTGCTCCCTCTTGCATAAACCTGAAATTAACAAAAACTTACAGCATATCATTGTCTCCTTTCACATCCAAACTAAAAGTTCTCAAGACTGATTGGAAAACCTGCTTTTCATAGTTTGTTGTTTATTTAATGTTGTTACCTACCTTTAAAATAAATCCAGCATGACTGGACAGCACACCAAAGAAACTACTCTGAAAAAACAACTCTAACTGCAATATTGAGGTGGAATAATCCATCCAGATCTAAGAAAATGCAAAGTATGATTAATAGACATCTCCCTATTATTTTTATTCCTGATAGTCCAGTCTTTCTAATAATTGTCTCTCATCATGCCTGTCTTCTCGCCACAGAGGCCATGTCTTCATAAAGCTCTGCCAGTTTGCTCTTGTCTTGCCATATAAAATATGCTAAATATAGAGCTACAAATACGAACAGTAATCAGTTTCATGCTTGATAAATCTCATTGCTGATGCTAAATGATTAGATCTGCATATCCTCATATGCAGTATTTAGCTTTTTTCCGACAAAAATAATAGATTCTGTACATTCATGAAGGCAAACCTTAACCTGCTATTCTCCTTCTGCACCCAGTTAGTAGATTTGCTTTGTGCGTGTTAAGAAGTTTGGATGTGTTTCTATATCAGCAAACTTTTAGTAGATCATGCCTTCACTGTATAATTCACACACACACCCTTTTACATGTATGATATTTATCTGACCCTCTCACAGTTATGTCGTGCAAACACTTTCAGCCTAACTGACAGTAAATTTAACCCCTTTATCAGCCTAATCAGCCATAGAACATAGGAAACGTTTGGCTTCTACTGAAAATAAAACAGTAGAGACTGTTAAAGCACAGATATAAAGATATAAAATTAAATAAAGATTGAAGAGTGTTCTTTTCTAAATATAATAAAGTGTATGGACCATTTATTTCTCTGTCATCTACTATTATCTTTTTGTGTTGCTTCATTTTCATTTGTGCTAATTTCGTTTATTACACTTTGGTCAATAGCTGCTGTTTTAACACCTGCTTAAAAAAAAAAAAATCTGTTCTTGGGGAATCTGCTCTGAAGTTTCTGAGATGACTAAATTTGGACCAAAGAGTGTCACCGCACCTCCCAAATAGCTGATACAAATAAAAATGTCACGACACAATAAAGAGATGTGGAACATGATCATATATTAGTCTTATACATGTAGGTTTGCTTATCTTCATCATTTGTCTGAGTATTTTTATCGATCCATAAATAAAACCCGTTTGAGAGTCTTTATCTCAGAGAGGAATGAAGTCTTAAACATGTTTTTTCAACTGCAGCATGTGCTCAGAATGGCTGGCGCTTCTCTGATCCAGGTTAAACTGCAGAACTCAGCTTCTTGACCCCATCTTTACTGCTTCTTGAGACCTCGACACAGAGTTAGGGCTCATTCTACTGAGTTCTTGTTCAAGTTTTTCCCTCAATTTGGAAAAACCAGGTCTTTTCCGCGGCTCCTGCTCCCAACAGAGCTTCATTATAGAGTAAACATTAGGAGGACAGTCCTCTGGAGCCTCCATGCGATATCCTCCCTCCACTTTCTCCTTCACCTCTTTCAGAGTCTAAAACACATAAAATAAAGATTAGTGATGAGCAAAACTTCATGTAAAGGTCCTGATCTTCACAGGTTCTAAATAAAATGCTCTAAACTGCTTAGGGAAATAATTAAAAAAAATAAAAAAGTCCTTTGAGTAATGAGTGGGTGAGTTGATTACATGTGCAACAGAAACATGTGCAAACTTGTTCAGTTCTGCCTTTATTTAAAAGTATGATATAGTTCCTCCCTAGTGTGGGAGTAACAAAAAGAAAAATGAAGTTTAAAGCAATGGCGTCTAAGGTAATAGCAAATATAGTCACAATAAAAAATATGATGATAAATGATGAATATCATTTACAGTGCACTTATTGTATAAGTATCTCAAAGTGCTTCAAAAAAAAAAAAAAAAAAGATGATAAAGGTAAAATTTGAATTATGAATATCACTCACAAAAGCTGGAAAAACTGCAATTGCGTAAATATCGGTAAGCAGAGACAGCAGTTGCTTACGGGCCCACAACCTCTTGGGGGCCCCGTCACTGACACCTCATGGGCCCCCTACGCAATTGTAGACAAGGACATTTCTTTGCATGTGTAATGGTATGGAAAATTCCTCCTAAACCCACCTGATACTGAACTGACTGACCGGAACTTATTTATACCGCAACACATGTCAGATTTCAACATGATGGTGAGCTGTTTAAACACAACACCAATTGCAAAGCAGACAGTGATACTTTTAACTACTATGTTAATACCTGTATATAGTTTATTAGAAGGTTGGTGAAAAATACACTCATTTATTTTTTCAAACTGCAATAAAGATCTTAAAAGAACGCTGTATTTGAGTATTTTTTTTTTTTACACTATGACTGGAATTATGGGTTATGATGAACTGACTGAACATATTACAGACGTAACGTGTGTGCAGCGTGCAAGACGTCACATCACGTTAGACTAAAAGCAGAGCGTAGATTAAACCATAACCGTTTTCGTACAATATGTAGCGACGATAGATACCAAAAAGAAGCACTTAAGCGGATTCCAGAAAAGATAAAGGAAGAGCTGCTAGAAGAACGGAAACATTTTCAGAAAATAAACACTTTCTTTCAAAGAAACGAAGAGGGAGAGGTGGACGTTGCTGCTACCAGTCCAGTGAGTAAAGGTTGCGACCAAGAGAACAATGAATAACCTGTGTGAATAACCTGCAGCTAGTGACAATGTTTTTGAATGACTTGTACTGTGCATAGCAATGACTGCATGTCTCAAAGAGATGTTGCTTACGATAATTTTGCCTTTTGTTGTGTTGTTACGGCACTGAAGAACTGACTTTTTACCACCCCTTTCCGACCCCCTTTCTAATGCTATGTTCACACTGAACTCGATTTGAGCGGCAAAAAAGCGTATCATTGATGCTTGTCCACATTAAAGTCAGAGGAGGGTCAAGTATAGGTCAAGTAAATTGTGTACAGATGCTTCTAATGCTTGTACTATTGTGTTCAATGGCAGGGTGGCTTTGCTAGGCTATGTTTGCTGTGATAAGTGGGTAAAAATTAGTCTTGATATATTTTAAACAAGAAAATAAACTTCAAACCCTTATCTGTCCAGTCAGTTCATCAAGATTAGGGTCCTGCCTTAAAATATTATTTCACTGTCAGAGCAGAGCAGGCCCAACATACCGGCCACAAGCCATCACTGGGAATCCCCAGCAGTAGCTCGCTTAGTGTTGTTCATGTGGCCGTAGCATAACAGGCAGTCGAGGAAGGAGCCTCGATTAGATTAGACAGCAACATTAAGCTAAGCACAACCTTTTAAAGGCTCTGTGATGGCCGTTTAAAAACACCATGCCACAATTCTTTAGTTAATTCACTGTTTCTCATTTTGTTTTAAATGCATAACAACACTTGTTGTCTGGGCTTGCAGCAAGAAGGTTCTAAGTTTGATTCCTGGCCAGGCTTATTTCTGGATAGAGTTTGCTCATTCTCTCTCCATGAGCATGGGGTGTGTGTGCGTGGGTGTGTGTGTCTGAATGGTTGTTTGTCCTGTTTGTCTCTGTTGCCCTGCAATAGACTGGCGATCAGTCAAGGGTGTACCCTGCCTCTCGCCCATTGACAGCTGGAGATAGGCATCAGCACCCCTCGTGACCCCACAGAGATAAGAGTGATGGAAAATGGATGGATGGATGACTATTCTCTGATTGTTGCTTCATTATTGCGTAGATTTTGAAACCGATTTTCAAACCAGCTAAATATGGATGCAAAACAGCAACTTCAATCATTTCAGGTTTGTTAAATCATGTGTATAATCATATCTTCCACCCATCAGTTTGCTGGGTTTGGTTATAAATATATAATCTGCATAAACATGAATGCTTTGGTTGTTCTGCTCCTCTTACACACACAAATAGATTTGCATCTTGTAGGAACATCAGCTTTGTATGTGTTTTATACACCCCAACCTTTTGAAAATAATTTTTGATTCATTATAAATTTTGTTCAATATATTAATATAATGACTGGTTAAATGTATTAATATCAAAAAGTTATGAAAGTATTTTCATTGATTTAAAAAAAAAACTAAGTAGTATCTGCTAATGACTAGTTTCTTGATCAGGTGGTTATAATTCAGGATGATGTTATCAAGAAAATGAGTATCTCTTGGCCAGTTAATGCATCCTACAGCAGTCTGCAACACTTTAGATGAATAAACATTCAGAGACGTCACTAAGAAGAAGTGATACATACCATCTTAGGGTACGGCTGCCGACCATACGCAAAGATCTCCCACAAAAGGACACCATAACTCCACACATCTGACTTTGTGGAGAACTTCTATGAAAGGTAACAGATGCAAAATAGAGAGATACGGCTTTAAAAGGGAATTTAATTCAAATTCAAATCAATAGAACTGAAGAAAAACAGACAAAGAACAGACATATGAGAGGCTATTCAAAGTGTGGGATGGTATCTTTATCATCACAGACGCCTCTTACTGCTAGAGTTCCCCTTTAGTCTTTTTTTGTTTTAAAACTGAAACGTGAAAACATGGTCTGCAGATGTTGATTATCATCAGGAAATTGATAAGATAACACACAGAGCTACTAGTTCAACTGAGTGTCTTCTCTTTACACACAGACTGAGGAAAAGAAGGAACTTACTTGATGTTATTTGTCAGAACATCTATCAATAAATCATTTGTTCAGTTTAATTGCACATTGCCAAACTTGGTGCATAACAGAAGTTGAGCAGTAAAAAAAGAGGGGGTCATTCCTTCTTAAAGTAAGAGTTTGCTAGATACCTCTTTCCTGAGAGCTTCAGGAGCGGTCCATTTGACCGGCAGCTTGGCTTTGTCCAGCTCTTTGGAGTCCACCTTTGCCAGGCCAAAGTCACTGACCTTTGCCACGCTCTCATCAGAGATCAGGACGTTTCGTGCTGCCAGATCTCTGTGAACCATCTTTTTTGACTCCAGGTACTCCATGCCCTCACACACATCACTGGCCAAAGCAGATAAATGAAAAATACAACATGGGGACATCAGAATTTGAACATAGTTACTGAAAAGAAAATGAAAACTACTCTAAACAGCACTGATTCATAGTTTGATCAGACTCACAGAGCAAAGCGCAGCAGGTGAGCAGAGTTTACAACAGATCGCCCTCTTGTCCTGAGAAAATTCACAAGGTTTCCCTGCAACATACAACAACATCAGAAACTCAGTGTTTACAAATCAAACAAAAGTAGACAAAATATAACTAGTAGGGCTGCAACTAACGATCATTTTGCAAATCGATTAATCTGTCAATTATGTTTTCGATTAATATCGGACAGCAGATGATTCCTTAAAGAAGACGTTTTAGGAAATAAAACCAGTGAAACTAAAACTTTTTCATTTCAGGAGTTCTGGATAGAGCATATGGACAGATGAAAACGTTTTTTTATCATAAGTGCAAAATGTTTATATATTTTTCTTAAATTTATGATATAATTGCTGCTTTAAGTGTTGTGCTCTGAGCTAGATTATTGTTTTAGAGTCTCTATACGGTTGAAATTTAATCAATTAACAAATTAGTTGACAATTATTTCAATAAATCGATTGATCACAATTGGTCTGATCATTGTTTAAGTCCTAATAACTAGAAAATTAAAGGTAAAGTAACCCAGAAGGAAAGAGTGAAATTGGGCCTATACTTTAGCGCCCTCTTGTGGCAGTAAAAAAATCCAAATATATCTTCAGTATTTTCTTTATAAAAATAAGTATTTTCTTTAGAAATAAATAAATAAATATAGAAATAAATATTTTCTTTATGATGAAATAAATGCAATCATAATAAAACAAAAAACTATTCCAGCCAATGTAATATACCCCCCAAAATCAAAATAAATAACTTATCAAACAACAATTGAGCTGTTTGTATGAATGTAGAGGTTTAGTGATAAATAAAAGCCAAACATAAATGAATATAGACTCTTTCTTACTTTTTTAGAAGAGTTTCTATTTATATCAAAGCTAAGATAAATAAGCAGAAGTTGCGGCTTCCATCTGTGATCAGCTCGTAACTGTGGTGGCGCATTCATTATAAGAGTCAATTTAATTTATCTAAAGTTGCCACCAGATTTATCATTTCTACATTTAGGTCATATAGGCCGGCACATTTCAGGCCGGAGTTCTTCATAGGCCTTTTACTATTAGATTAAAATAAGTCTTTTGATTTACCTCTCACCCATTCACCTATCAACCCCAAATGCCCTGATGCCGTAAAGATGATACATGGACTTTTTTCCTGAGATAAAGTGATAATATTTGGAGTAGTAACTTCAATCGTCATTGAAAGCAAAAGATCAGGGTTCTAACATCCAAGACTTGGAGCTCATCAGCTAAAATAAATAATCAAAATATCAGTGGAGATATATAAAAAGTTGATTAGCAATTATAAGCATAGTTAAACTGCTATGATAGCAATAAATATTTCCAATATTTATTAAGAAGCATTTAATTAAAGGATTTTTGGATTTAGGTATACCTTGGTCATAAGCTCAGTGACAATGTGGAGCCCCTTGTGAAGGATGACCCCAAGCAACCGCACAAGGTTTTTATGCTGCAACTTCCTGGAACAAGAGAACCGACAAAGTAAGAAGTGAAAGCAAGTGAACTAAAGCACAGTTGCATTCAGAAGTTTGCACATATCTATTATTGGCATTCAGTTTATATCAATCTTTGATTTTTTTTTTTTTTTGTATGCCTTTAAGCTATTGTAATGAACATTTGCATAATTGTTAGTGTGATACAAAAAATAACTTCAATGATTTTATAAAAACAGGAATTATGTGCAAACGTTTGAAACAAAATTATATTTTTTTCACAGGTTTAAAATTATGTTTTAATTGCCTTAGAAACTTTCAGCTGCTACACCAAACCGTTTCAGAGCTCAATCAAATTGCCTACCTAGACCAGGGGTCAATAACCTTGTTGAAACTAAGAGCTACTTCATGGCTGCCAGGCCTATACGGCGGATGATAAATCTGCTATGACCAACCATGGTGGCGCTCACACTGAGCCTGGTTGATCTGGAGGTTTATCTCCCACTAAAAGAAATTGCATTCCTCTCCACTGTCACTGCATGCATGCTCAATATGACTGTTTGCTGCAATGAAAAAATGCCAACGACTACCCGTGTCACTTCAGGCCGATCCAGGAGGAACAAATCCTGCAAAGACAATGATTCAATGCAGTGTGCTGGTTTCCTTAGATAAAAAACTTTTAATCAATCCCTCTGTATGATTTGATTGAATTGTCTCTGTAAAGTACCTTACAAAGACGTGTTGTAAACTGATCCTATATAAATAAACTGATGATTTTTTATTTTAAAACTATCAGTACCGATCTTTAAACAAGAGGGGTCAGAGTTAATTTAAACTTTATGTTTAGTTGAAATAATAAACTGCTTTGCTTTTACTTTTTAATCTCGAAATATTTATGAATTCAAATATTATTCTAAATGCTTTTAATGCAGTTTACAGGTGGGGTTTGCTATTTTTAGAACAGTTTTGCAGATGGCTCATTTGGCCAAGAGCAGTTTGATAACCACCCTAGATCAAGAGTAAATAGGTTAGTTGGTATCACCATATCAAACCCAAAAACCACCGACAGTTAAAACAGTCTTACCCTGAGATTGTGGGGCAGGACTGTTTAATACATTTGTTTACTTCAACTCAATCAACAGCTGGAAAGAAGTAATACCAGGATAAACAGATTGATGTTAAACATTTGGAGGGATTTTCTTAAAGCTCTTAAACCATCAGACCATATAATATGAATAAAGTCTACCTCATCAGGTAGGAACAGCGCTCATTCATGCAGCCAGAAATTTGACAGTAGCACATTATTGAAAAGCAACTTTCTAAAGGACATTAAACCAAATATTTGTGGTTACAATGAACCCTGTGTGGATGTAGAAAGTTTACAATAAATTTATACTTATACACCCTGGTGTACGTTTAATTTTCTTATTGAATCACAATGGTTCATATAAATCATCAAAAGGCTGATAAATAACACATTTTCATGCCGGTGATAGGTTTATGTAAAATTAACCAGCACTTTGTGTGCTTTTTGGAGTCAATAATTGATGAATAGGCTTTGATTGTGTTCAAGATAATTCAAACTGAAAATGTTTTTAAACTCACGTCATAACAGCAGTTTCCTGCATGAAGGCCTGGGCTGTAACGTCGCATTTTATGGTCTTCACCGCCACCATCTGACCCATGTACTCTCCCTGATAAACAGCTGCAGGTTGGAAAAACATACACATTGCTTATACCTCTTAAAACATTCCTGGTTTCAACTTACATTCCATGTCTTCTAATGTTCTTTATCTTAAATAAGAGTGCAAAGCTAAAACGACAGCATTGAAAAGCACACCAGAATTAAAATATCTTTAAACAAGTGGGTTAATAACAAATGGCCTCTGTAAAGTTCTGGTTTGAATTGTGGATCATGACATTTGTGGATGAAAATTAAAGCAGCACCTCAAACAAGTTGCTTTCTTGTGTAAAATCATGTAAAAATAATATAAAGAAGCCAGCCTTAATATTAAGATAAACAGGCTGAAAGGCCACTAAGGAGAGAAGAACCAATGCCTTAAAGATTCAGATTTTGCAAAAAATGCATATACAGCAACAAAGTCCTTTATTTTTGGAGACGTAATGTGGGCTGAATAAATTAAAATGCAGGTTTGTTAAAAATTGTAAGGTACAGTGGTGGCAGCATCATGGTGTGGGGATGTTTTCTGCATAAGGGATCATGTAGAATGATACCCAAAACATCTGAGCCAAGTCATTTAAGGCAGGGGTGTCAAACTGGTTCCAGAAAGGGCCGTGTGGCTGCAGGTTTTCTTTCCAACCAAGCAATAGCACACCAGTCATTTCATTATGTCATCATGTTCAGATTGGACTCACTTGATGAGATGATAGGAGTCTGGTGTGCTATTGCTTGGTTGGAAAGAAAACCTGCAGCCACACGGCCCTTTCTGGAACCAGTTTGACACCCCTGATTTAAGGTAATTCTACCAAATACCAAGAGAAAGTTTGAAAGACTGTCTCAGCATTCAGACGTTTGGCTGTTAAAGATCATTTTGATAATCTTGACCAGGTTAAAATGTTACAATAAGTAAATATATCATTCCATACAGTGTATATCCGATTTTAATTATACTGTATACATTATATGTGTATGGTGGTGTTATTTTTTTCTTTTTCGAAGTCTTGATTGCTTTAAAAATCTTTTACTACGGTCTAATTCTATAATAACAGTGGCTTGCATGTCACACTTTTATCAATATGTACTTCTCAAAAACTGATACTATCAAAAGGCTGCTTGGTTTCCTGTTGTCATTTCTGACTTCCCCCTTAGAAAACTGGTCATTTTTTCACCACACAGTAGCAGATATAAAAACATATATATATGCACATCAAACAAAGCTGACCTCCAAATTCTCCTTCTCCAATGTTTTCTCCCAGCGTAAGCTTCGTAATGTCCAACAGCCAGCCAGCTATAAAGAAAACACATTCATAATGACCAAAAACATTAAACCATATAACAATCGTTAGCTCATTTTATTTTTTAATCCAGGAGGAGTGTTTTTGCACAGAAATATGGAGCCACAACTTGACTCTGAGCTTACTTTTAGATAACTCCTGCTCAGCTGACTTAGCTCCTTGTTTCTTCCTGGGCTTCATCAGAGTTGTGGTGAGGGATCCTTTATTCTTTGAGTAAAACTGCAATGAAGGAAAACAATTATATATAAGAAGGCAATATTATTAGGCCAATTCTCTGGAAGGAAAATCACCTAAATTCACCTAAAACAGGAAGCACTAATTGTGTCAGATAGATTATTTTGGTTGTTCCAGTCATAGTCCTCCCTCCGTTTCCTCAACAGAAGTGAGTTTACAGAGTGATTCAGACTAAAATGATGCCTGCAGCCCAGTGATAAAGATGCTGCAGGCCGACTCTCCGTGCAGGCTTAGATAGAAGATGTAGGACAAAAAAACCATAAAAGGACAAAACTGAATGTGGTTTTGTGCTACGACGCAATATTTGTGAGGCTAGTTTATATTGAATGTCCTGCATCCTCTCTTAGCTTAGTTATAGGCTAATTCATTTCCACAAATGTCTGGCTTAAAATAGATATTTTTTAAATGTGGATTTTAAATTGTTAGTGAAACCCCCTACAACATTTAAAAGCAAGAATTAGCGGTTTGGTTTCCTGTGTTTTTTGATTTTTTCTTCTTTTTCTATTTTTGCTATGTGTAAAGGTTAAGAACAGAGTTTGTTGAAGATCGAAAATTGAACAAAGGTGACATTTTTTTTCCCCCCTTATGAATGTGTTGACATTTTTTAATGCATGTTGACCAAACCTATAACATTAAGATGTCTAATTGGAATGGAAGAATTCATCTTGATTCATTATTCATCTTAAATTATTTAAAAGTGATGTGGTTTCTATATGTTTCAGAAACACCAACTACTTAAGATATAGATCTCAGATATATATATATATATTTTTCATTAAAAACTATTAAAGTTCTAAGATTTGGGTTTAATGCTGAACTACAGAAGATCTCTAAAAACATATTGTATGTGTATCCAATCAGTGTATTTCATTTACTTCAATCATGTCAATGAGGTTGTAGAAGTACTGCTTGTTGTCGATTGTCAGCTTGTTGTCCTGGTATATCACTCGGTAATGGAAGACCTCGTTGGAGAAGCTGACACACAGGACGTAGTCGCCCGGATGGCGGATGCTTTCTCGCACCAGGAACAGGCCATCCTCTGCTGGCTGCAGCTTCCCCACCGCTGCCTGCCCAGAGATCTTCCCATGAAACCAACTGAGGCAAGACATTACAGAGCTGTTAATACATATTAACACGTATGAGATAAACCTATAATTAGAAACCAACTAAAAATAAGAAGTATCTATAAAGATAGCTGTGAAATAAAGAGAAAACACAGCACATTCTTCTACTAACTGTCACAAAGCAAAGCGCTTACAACCATGTGGCAGTGGATGCAGAACAGCAAAATTATAATATTTTAATAACTCTCTATGATCTGTGCAGATACACAGTATCTTGAATATAAGGAAATAAATATCTTAATGAAGTAGCACAAAGGGCAAATACAAATAATAATAAATATTTGCAGATTCATGTTAATAATATCGTGAAATGAATCCCTTAATCTCTCAAAAACTGGCAGGATAAACTGAAAATAAAGTATGATTATTCATACCAGCTTATTGATCTGCTTGTCAATGCCACTGGTACAAACAATAATGGATCTTTGATGTTATTTTTATTTTTTTTTATGCTTCACTGGGACATTAGCTGTAGAAGTTGAACATTTATTTTTATGGTAAAAGACTGGAATGTTAAGCATTAATGATTGATTATTGACTAAAGGGTTGGGGGTCCATGATGTCCCATGTGGTGTGGTAAGGTCTTCATCTTTACTGGATTTTAGTTTACAAACAATTAGATAAAATTTGAAAGGCTTTTTATTTCAATCAATTAAATTAACTTAAACATATTTGACCCGGGACTCAATCCGCAGGATGTCTGGATATTTTACCTCTGTAGGACCTTAACACCCTATACCTATACAATCTATACACTCTCTTCTACAACACCTTGTAACAGAGCTGTGAACATGCACATATAGATTCTATCAATTTAAATAACCAGATTTCTACAAAGCAGGAAGGGTTTTAATACTAGGCGGCAGGAAAATTAGATGATTCTTTAAAAATATCATGCAGGTAAATGCTATAGAGCCACTACTTGCAACTGTTTTAATCTATCCTTTCTTCCAACCTCGACCTCTTAATAAATTGATTGCTTTTGCTGGTAGGTAAGTTCCTTCAATTATTTTCATATTTTGTATTAGTGATGCTTCTCTTCTAGTTAGTTTTTTATTTTTCTTGCAAGCTGAGTGGTTTTGGGAGGTGTAGGCTAATACATTATTGTTAAAGTAATATGAATGTCCTTTGTTTTGCATGTGATGTTTTTTAAAAGACTGTCTTGTGTGTTGTAAATAATTACAATTTGTCAGGATTGTGAGTTTTTGGCTTTTTTTAAACGTGATGTTTTTGCAGTCCTTGTACCACTGCCGACTAGGGCTGGGTAAAAAAATCAATTTAATCGATTTTGAATCGATTCCTTTACATTTTTGCAAAATCGATGTCTAGGGAATGAGATTGATTCATTTTATAGTGAAAACATGGAAAAGATGCACTCAAGATTACTTCAAGCCAGACAGCTGCAAATATAGCTAATAGGTTGACTGAAGACATTAACGAATGGGGGCTGACCAGCAAACACCCTGTAGTTGCTACAGACAACACTGAAAATATGGTTTGTGCATTGAAGATAATGCAGCTCATGCATGACTGCTGTGTCACGTCTGCTTGCTCGAGTGAGGCTTCACTTTTTCACTTTTCACAAACAAGTTTGCACCGTTGAGACAGTTTTGTTCACACCTCATGTTTAAACTTTCTGATTTACAAGTTTGCACTTTGCGTTAATGTGACAGGAAAAAATAAAATACATGAGTATTTTGAAACACAGTTGAACCACTTTCATTATTGTAAAAACAGATCGAATCGAAATTAATCGATTAGGAACTGAATGAATCAAAATCGAATCGATTCAGGACTTTGGCGAAAATACCCAGCCCTATGCCGACAACGCATTTCCTTTAGGGGACATTAAAGTAAGTCTTATCTTTTTATACATTTTAATAATAGTTGTAGCATATTTGTGATCAATCTGGTGTTTTTAAGTGTAAAAATAAAAAACTCTCATATGTTTTATTCTGCTTTAGTCAGTCCAAGATGAAAAACAATTTAACCTATTAGTGTGGTATTACTATCTTTTCTAAAATAGAATTCCAGGAAGTTATAGTACATTTCTCCTTTAGTTTACTATTGCTGACACAGAGGTGCATTAGCCATCAGACAATCAGAAAAAGATAAAAACCAAATTTGTCAGGGGTCAATAATAAACATTTTTATGCAATATGTGAAGGTAGTTTAAATGTTAGATAGCAAAATTGTATTGAATGAATATAGCATGTCTGTGATTTAAGTTGTCTTAACAGAGGTATGCTTAAATCTTGGCTCCATCCCATCTCTGTTTGCTTTAAAATTAATCTCTGCTTAACACAGAAGCTCCTACGAGAATCATCTTAAAGATAAATTAAGCTGTCCTTTATAGACGACTGACATGGGGCATCATAACAGGAAGTGGAGAGCTTTATCTTTAAATAGCGTTTGCTTGCTTCTCAAGGATCTACCCACACAGCGTGGTGGTATAAGCTTCAAAGACCTGAACAGAGAAGCAGCTCACAGCTTAAGATTTCATTTCAAACTTTCTCAAAAGGATTTGTTGAGAGGGTAAGGAAGATGAGACTTACGGCATGAGGCTGAGACTGGGGTCTACTCGTAGGGCCTCTCTCTCACGCACATTGTTGGAGTTTATCAGCCCCTCTTCTGCTGAGCTGTTGTGTCTGGCGATGTAAAAGCCCTTTTTCTAAAAGAGGAGCAATGTTTGCCTTTCAAATTTAACAGCAAACAACAAAGCTTTTACAACTTTTGCAGAATTTTTGATGAGACAGTACCGTGCTTGTATCGACTATAGTGAGAATATCTCCCTTGTGGTAAACCAGCTCTCCAGGTTTAGCTTTCCGGCTGTCACACTTGGCTACACACTGGGTACCAGGAGCCCAGCTCATCTGTAAAATAACAACGATACCAGCATCAGTCCAAGCATCCTCCTGCAGGCTTCCTACCTGCAGCCTACTGGGCATGTTAAACAAATTATTATATGCCCCAAAAAGAACAAAGCAAGGGAACAAACTCAGCACATGCTGCATTCAGAAGATGTGTATATCTACTATTCTCAGAAAGTTAAAATATACATTCACCTGAAACAATACTTGGTTAAACATAAAATCTACCATCTTAATAATCAGGTTTTGGTTAGATAAGCTTCTATCTTCTTTCTTGCATCTGTAAACATGATATCATTGCTTTGTAATCTTTTAATGTTCTTCAAGACATTAAAAACAAATTGAGGCACATCTGTGGAGGTTTCTATGGCCCCCATTCAAACTGCTACATTTTTTGTTATTATGGGGAAAATAAATCCATCAAGATATCAGAAAGAATAGTATGTCTCCACTGGTAACCATTTCCTTCGGTGGGTAGGCCTACAATGCACGGATCACTAAAAGTTCGTCATTTTCTATCACCATATGGCCTAGTGATAAGACAGCTATTAAAGCATTTTAGTATGAAAAGTAGGCCTACTTATCGATGGAACAAAAGCGTTCTTCAGTCAAAAGAGGGCGAAACTTTCGAGCTTGAAACACCAAACCTGTTGTCAGCATGTTTGGCTCCGACGGGACTTGTGGACTTAAGAAACTAGGTCACTGTTTTCACATGTTCACAAAACAAAACCCATAAGTCAGCAACTTCTTCCATATGCTGATTCTCTAAATGTTTTACAAATAGTGAAGTTAAGCTAAACAAATAAAAGTGAATCAAAGCTTCTTTTTTGTACTGAGTGGCAGCTAAACAGGTTCATATAAGAATACTTGTAAAATACTATTGATTTAAAAGATATTGAGAAACCGCCTCACATCATCCAACTTGTGCAACAAACTGTTTTTACTGGCTTATTAAACAACAAGAGCAACTCATATAAAGAGAACTTGAGAGTTCGAAAGAAAACAGCTATCCTTTCAACCATGCCATTTGTTTTATTTTATTAATTACTTCATTAGCAGACCTTTGTATAAAATGTCAAAAAAATGCTCCATTAAATGAAATTTTCTGAGACCGCTTTCAAGCACACATTTCCAGCAAAGGAACAACAAAAAGTGAGTGGGGGAGACACAGGAGCACTTTATGGAGGTGCAAAGTTAGGAAGATTCTCAGGCCTTTGACTGAAGGGGCCCAAAAGTACAAGAAAAGATTTGTCCAACTATATTTTTCAAATATAAAAAGAAAATCCAGCAGTGAAATAAATTATCTTTGTGTTCTCCCTGATTTTTAATTAGTAAACAGCGAAACAAAGCATGAATATATTGAAAATATGAATAGATTTCTATACTAATAAACTACCATACCATAAATATATTATATTGTATCATAATATTTTGTACCATTCACAGACATCTATAAATCTTGATCATTCTCATGAGCAGCCTGAAGCAGCCGCACAAAAAATGCATGCTTTTTTTCCATTACATGTATGCATGAAGGAAAGACATTTTTTCTCAGGGCCAGCATAAAAATTATCTGTCCTTTAATACGGTCATAGTGAAACCTAATAAGAATATATTTTCACAATCCAAAACCTATCTTCTATTCATGTGTACATAGATACAGCTATGCCTTTCTGTTTTAAATAAGCTGTTACTATTTCGATAGGATATAAATATAAAGTTCATGTATAGTTAACGTTTTCACATTATAATAGCTTTCCTTTGTAAAAATTTTACAGTAAAAATGACATTAAAAATGTAAATGATACCCTTTAGGGCATTCTTATGGCAGTATTAAAGCTTGCATACATTTTTTTGGGGGTGGGCAATATCAATGTCTTTCATGGGGATCCAATCCTTGGCGGCGCCCCTGGAGAGACATCACAATATTATAGACATATTTCATTTTGTGATAATTGTAGGTTACATAACGAAGTTTAAGCATGAGCAGAAGCGTAGCCAGAATATTTTTATAAGGGTGGCCAGGCCAAAACCAATGTACACTGAGGGGTGGCTGAAGTGGACAGGCGCCAGAACTTCGGGGTCAATCTACCCTGTTCCAAAAGGAAAATTAATGAGCAAAACATCCATCTTTTTTTTAAATGAAGACAAACTATACTTTCCTACAGCCTTTGCTAACAAATAGACTTATATTTAAACATCTGTGCTTTCTAGATAAAAGATATAGTGAGTAAAATTATTTCACGTTTGAGTTCTGGGGTGAACATCTTTTCCATTGTCATTACTTACCTACTTTTATCAATAGTCATTCTGCATAAAATTGATATTTACAAGTACTAATATCTACATAAATTGATTACTTAATTATTTTTTATTAAAATAGTTATTGATCTATGATTTCACTGAAGACTCCTGACTTGCAGGAGATACATAATTCTCTTTACCCAATAAAACACAAAATCTAGTTGTGAAGAGAGCATGAGTTATGCAATTATCATCTTTAATGTTAATATATTGATGTGCATAATTAACCACAGTGCTTTTTGTTGTCAATTGTTAATATATGAAAAATGTAAATGTTTTAAATATTCCACTTGAGAGTATTACGGTTGCCACCATCTTTATTAGAGGGAAAAAATTTGGTAGCGGTGGCCACAGGGGTTGCCAGTGATTGGCTTGGCCTGGCCCCCCCCATCTAACAGCTTGAAAGAATGGTCTATAATAATGGATAATTATGGCTGAATTTGGATTTAATTTTATAATAGCTGAATGTCTTTATTCAGATGAACAAGTTCAATTCAAACTTTTCAGGTAATGTCAGTTCTATATTTGCAAACCTGAATGGAATCTAAAAAGGTGAATAAATTACTGTATTTACCTTGTAGCCAATGATGCTGGATGCTTGGAAAACTTGAAGTGAAATCTTGCAGAAAACCGGAGCTTTGCTGAAGGCCGGGATGAAATTAAAAAGATGAAATTCTGCTTAAAAGCAGAATGTAATCCGATGAAGGTGGAGGTGACGGACAGAGACTAGGGTCAATATTTGCTGTTGTTAAGGAAACACTTTGACAGAGTCTTTAAGGAGAGGAGACAAGCTGAGAAACACAGTAACCCCACGGAGCCAGGCTTTAAATACACAGCAAAAAAATATTTAACTCCCAATTCGTTTCAGTCAGCTTCCATTGCGCAGACATCCCAGCCGGACCAGTCCACCTCTGTAGTCCTGAGCGTCTTCAACTGCGAGACACTTCCTCAACATCTGGGAAAATGTGCCGCAAATTCAGATAGGCGGCGCAAGAAGTGACGCACTGCAAGTTTGTATCAACACATCCTCCCCCCAGAGTCCAGTGATAATAAGAGGAAGCAAAAAAGTCTGACAGGTATTTATTACACTCTTTATTTTGACGCATCACTACAAGTACATTCAAATAATAGGACTGCGACGTTCACACTTCCCGTTTAAACGATACAAAAACAGACTGCGACGTCCTTAGGAAATAAAATAAGAACCCACATCAGGCTCTTTGTAAATAAAAATCAAACTAAAACATGTCAAGTCACTCTCTCACATTGTTTTTTTTCCCCAAGTTGTGCAACCGTTTCCTGCCCCACATGTTCTCCATTATTAACTGAAACACTAACCACACAAAAGAAGTTGTTTCTTTCTTCTTATCAATCTTTTTTAAAACACATGATGCAGGCACAAGGAAGAAAGTCAAGGGACTTTATTTCATCTGTACGGCAGATTTTTGAATCCTTTTTTCTAACTAAAGATCCTCTCCTACATAAATCTTCTCTGAAAGAAAAAAAAAGATTTCAAGGTATATAATACAAAAGGATAAAACTATGGCTGCATAAATTGTTATCTTCTAAGTGCTTTGTTTCCTCTGAAGACAAGTGTGCAAGAAAACGCCTCTTTTTGCAGAGTGCGAGCCCCCTAAAAAAAAAACCTCAAAGGTTAGTTCCTGTCAATAGGTTTCATGACATAGGTTAGCTTTGACCTTATTTGTAAGTTTCTTTGAAGGTTTGAGCTCCATCATAAAGTATCTTTATATAACATTAGCTTTTGATGGGGCAAAAGTGACCTGAATATTTGTACTCCTTTTATTATTGTTTTTTCCCCCCATATATTTAGGCACTGTAAACATCACAGTACTGCATGTGTTTCTTCCTCAAACATTGCAAAGATTCCTATTTTTTATAATGAACATATTTTAGCAGCAAAGTTTATTTAGGATATCAGGTGTCAGATTGAGCTGTCCTGAAAAGCAGCAGTATTAAGCACTAATAATGAAACGCGAGGTGCAGGAGCCATAGTGTACAAAAAAAACTGTAAACCAGTGGTGGTGATGGCTTAAAATAAAAAAGAGGGTTCGGTTAATTAGTGTTAAAGCAAGCTGGAATGATGCCTCCTTCCATCATGATTCAAAATACACTGCATTCAATCTGGTCTTCAGCCCCTAAACTCTCCAAACAAATTATTCCTCTTTATTTAACGGTAGACATGTAACATGTAGAATCATAGGTTATAGTCATAAGTGTACATCTGTGGGTGTAAGTATTTGCTTGAGATAGAAAAGAAAGTGACATTCTACCAGTCTCTAAACTAGCAAAAATCTCTGCTGCGGTGGCAAAGGTCAAGCTTCCTCTTTCTTGTCTTTCTTGCCCTCCCCCTCTCCTTCGCCCGTGTCACTGATGTCCCGTCGCCGTTTGCGGTTGCGTGCGCTGGCCTTAGATGCTGGAAGGGACTCCATGCCCAAAACCTTGTGAATCTGGCGGAAAGCAAGGAGTCGCAAAGCATGCTGGGAAAGAAAAAAACACAACAGGTCAGAAAGTGGACCTTTTTGGTGCTATGTGTTGTGGCATTAAGGAGTTAAATATAGAGCTTCTACAATGTATCCAAACATCTTTTTTTGTCTTATACCCATCCCCACTTTTGGGGGATTTTAGAGTATATAAAACAAGATTTAAAAAGAGCATATGTGTGAAGTAAAAATAGCTGCTAAAGGGTGCAAAATACTTTGGACCAGGGAGAAGCTTTACTAACCTATTAAGACAGATTGATAAAGTGTAGTACTCAGGTTTAATTCCACACATTATTAAACTATGCATGCTTCCATCTAGGGCTGCAACTGATGATTATTTTGCTAATCGATTAATTTTTCAATTATCTTTCCGATGAATCAATTAATAATCGGATAGCAAAAGGATCCTTAAAGGAGATTTCTAACAAAATCAAACCAGGTGAGTATAAAACTTTTCCATTAGAGGAGCTCTGAGTACAGCATATTAATGGACACTTTTTTTTTTTTTTATCTTAAATTCAGAATATCTATGTATTCTTTTGCAACTTTGGTATAATTACTGCTCTAAGTGGGTTGAAGGCATGTTTTAGAGTCTCTATATTAATAGTTAATGATTAATCGATTACTAAATTAGTAATTGATGATTAATTCAATAATCAATTAATCATGATTAAACGTATCTTTTTTAGCTCTACTCCCATTGTATCTGTTCGGGGAAAGGAGGGACATTCCGTAGAAGGTGAAGCAATGCCTCCTACCTGCCCACCAAAGCTTGGTTTTAGCCAATCACAGTAATAAATGAAATAGCATAACCACAACAAGCTTATGCCTTTATTCTCTTGCTGTTCCTCTTTCAAAAGATAACATTGTGGATTCTAAAATAAATAAAACAGATGTGAAAACAGCAGTTACGCATGCGTCCGCCAGCGCTACCATGTTTACTTTTGACTCGGTTGTGGGCTCAGCAGCTCTTTTACTCTTATACTTTTTTCGTCCTGGCTTAAACCACAAAAGTGCAACATTCAAGTCTGACCCCGTTTTGGGTCAGAATCGGTACAAGGTGGACTCTTGTATGTATCTTACCTGATAACGAAAGATTCAGCCTTCAAGCAAGGTTAAAGGTTTACCTCTGAGAGAATGGTTTAGATAAAGCATTTTTATGTTTTAACATGACCTGAATCCTTTGGAGCATGTTTCAAGTCAGTTGTGCTAAAATCTGCTTTGTAAAAATAATGGGGCCCAAAAAAAATTGGTCTGTAGATGAAGAAAGTTCGGAGAGGCATACAGAAATTATGACAGACAAAGGCTTAATACCAAAACTCAACCCAAAATGTTAGCGTTTTTTATTTTCTGGAAACTAAAACCTATGCATCTTTTTTCATCCTATTTTAACATGTCGAAGTTTTAAAAAAACAATATATGAATAGATGTGCAATGTCCCATAAAAAGTGTAAGTACCTGTGCGCTGGCAGTTACATCCTCCCGGGCTTGAAGCTTCATGCTCTTCAAAGCATCTGTTGGCTCCTTCTCACAGGGGTCCATCAAACCTGGGCCATCTGTGTGAAGGAGAGAAAACAGTATGAGACAGCGACATTCTTTCCAACCAACAACACAGAGAGGTCTAAAAGGCATGTGGCATTTATTGACATATTCATCTTTTTTTTAATTATTAAATTTTATCAAGGTTGTGCTAGTGTGTGACCTGGAAGCAGGATGCCGATGGAGATGCACTCCAGGACCCGGCGCATGGCCTCCCCTGGACTAAGCGGGCCTGTGGCACTGCTGATCACCTTCTCTACCAGCAGCTCCATTGCCTAACAAGAAAAATGTAAACTATAGTCTTATGTTTTCATGTTCCTTCTAAATCTTTTGAAACTGAATATTTTCACATGTAGTTCATTAGTGCAGTGATAGCACTTTGATAAAACTGCATAAAAACTACCAGACATGATCAGTGAAGGAAACTTACCCAGGCAGGCAGCCTCCCCCAGGTAGGAACACGCTGACACAAATCTCTCAGCACCCGAATGATGATCACACATGACTGTAATCCATTTGCACGAGCCTTTAGGGAACAAAAAATAAATGTCTTGTTAAAAGAGACATCTTGGAGTACTGTGGAAACTTAACTGTGGAAACAGTTCTTACAGTAGATCTTAAAACAATTTCACATAGACTAAAATAAAACATTTTATTGAGGATACCTGAAACCATTTGGCATGTCGGAGAGCAGCCAGGTTGTCCAAACATTTTTTCCGATTTAAAACGTCCAGAGGGTCTTTCTCAGACACATCTGTTGAGAACAAAAAGTACAGTTTTGTAATCAAGATCTCACAGACCACACATGATGTTAGCAGTAAAAGGCTCAAGCTGTTACTGTGGATTTAAATTGATCATTGGGTTATTTTTTTTATAAAGCATACAACCCCACCAGGTTCAACACTCATGTAATCTTATTTAGCCAGAAATGAAATAAATCATGGGGATAAAAACATACAATAACAAATGTTAAATGTAGGCAGTTTCTTAATTGTCTACATTTAACATTGTCTAGTGAGAAATGAATATCAAGGATGAAAACAAAAAAAAAAGAGAGACAGCCAGAAATATAATCCAAAGCTAGTTTAAGCTCCACACATGATCCAAATATCAACTCTTTTACACATTCGGTTTTGCTTGCTAAAACAGACACACCTTTCAAAGGTTTCCTTTAAAAGTTTCGGTTTGTGTTCACCAGCCTTAAACCGAAGGAAACCGTGCCAGTAATGGCATTACTAGTGGTAATCCATTACAGGAAGTAAAACTGTCTGCTACAGCAAAGAATTACATAAATAGAGGTGGAGTACATGTCTACCTGGTATATTGTTTTTCTATTTTGCCGCACATTCATTGTTCAAACAGCATTAAGAACAAAAGCATTAAAAAGGTACCGGTAGTAGCTTTTAAAAGAAAATAAATATTCTGATAGGAATGCCCATTCTGACATTGATGTAGCATTCTGAAAAATAGAGCAATGTTCTAAAAAAGTTTAACTTTTCTCTCTCAATCACCAAAATGTGTGTATAACTGTATAAGGGGAAATGTGGAGTTGGATCAATACCGAAGTTTTACTAAAACTTCGGTATTGATCCAACTCCACATTTCCCCTTTACTGAGGATTTAAAAGATCATCTGCTTTTCTGGTGAAAGACTCGGGGAAACTCCCTGAGTTTTGTTTTGATGACTTAAAGGGACCTGGACAATGTAACGCAGATTGTTGTGTTGCAGATCAGTGCATTTTTTCCCCCTCATTCTACAATTTAAAATCACATTTAATAGCCCTTTAAAAAGAAATATAAAATACCTCTAGAAAACCTAAGTGTGGCTGACTTAAAAAAAATAATAATAATAATTATATATATACACTCACCGGCCACTGTATTAGGTACACCTGTCCAACTGCTCGTTAACACTTAATCTCTAAGCAGCCAATC